AAGGAAGGAAAAGGAAGGAAGGAAGGATCAGACACCTACTTCATATAAAAATCAATCTAGGATTAAAGACCTACCTGCGAAAGACAAAAATATAAAAAGATATCTTCATAATGTAAGGTCAGGAAAAGAATCTTTAAACAAGATACAAAAGTACCAAACATAAAGCAAAGACTGCTAAATTCAAGTTTTAAAAACTTAAATATATTTCTTGCCATCAAAAAATTATGTAGAGAGTAAAAAGAGCACGGAAGAAGATAGTTGAAATACATATAACCAACAGAGGACTCCTCCTCAATCATTAGAAGATCTGAGAAGAGAGATGACAGTAAAATATTAAAAGTACAGGCTTTTCGAATGCTAATTTTCTTACCAACTGTCCTTCCTCCTTGCTCTAAATGATTTTTTACTGACATAGAAAATTCAACTTTATTTTTAAAAAATTTAAGTTCTTACAACTTACCTTCAACTTGACTATCTAGGAACAGTTTTAAAGACATTTATGACTTTGTGAGTAAATGTGATGAAGTCCAAAAGCTATTTTAGCAGGGGGAGCTACTTAGGGTCTACAATGAAGAACAAGCATTTTACAATCCATAATTCCTGTGTACTTACCTCCACTGCATAGTGCAGAGCTGACGAGCCAGGATGCAAGGACAGGTTTTGAAGAGGCTTGATATGTGGTTTCTCCCATCCAAACTCTGAGGACCACTCAACTGTCAACATGTGATCGGTGAAAACAGTTCCAAAAACCAAAGTATTTGGGTCTGGCTTTTCCTTTAAAATGGTGGCTGGTGTGATTATTAGATCTTTAGCCTGGTGAAGAAAAATCAGTACCAGTAAAGAGTAACTGAACATCTACATGATACAGTGGGTAAACAGACATAAAATTTAAGTCATTGGTCATTAAAAAGTGAAATTCATACCTTTTGACCACCTTTACTCATTTCCCCCATCCCCTACCTATCCTACTTGACTTTTAAATATTGGCAACTAACTAGGAAATTTAACAAATCATGCCTGCACTCCGAATTTGGCCTGTTGATTGAAATCTTGGCAATGTACACTGCCTAGCAAACAACAGGACCAAAATTCAGTGATATTTAGAAACAGAGACAAAAATAGCAGATGGAGTAAAATGATGCAAAAAGGAGAACACATCCCTTCTTCATTGCTATCATAAGGCTCATGTTGAGCACTGGGGAAATAAGAAAGGGGTGTCTTCTATAATAAATACAGCAACACTAAGAATAACTTGTTAAACTAAAATGAACGTCATTAAGAACTGAACTTTCAGCTGACAGTTATACTTCAACTCCCCGAAATCATTCTTGCATCTAAGACTTAAACCCCCAGGGTGCACTGTAGAAGAAATGAGCAGAGCAAAGCAACTGTTTTCCTGGTTGAAAATAGAGGAGTAAAATGAACACTAACATATTAATCCTCTGTTCTGTGTTAAGGAAATGGTGAACAAAGAATCTCTTTTTGAAAGAAGAGTAATAGGAAACAACACCACACAGCAGCATTTCACCACCACCCCACACAGCCATCTTGTTTGTTACAAATGACCAAACCTATAAGCATACAAATCTGTCAATATCATCACTAACTGTATAACAACAATAAAATGCTGACAAAAAAAAACACAGGCAAAGGAGGTTTCTAACCACTTATAAAATAATATTAACTAAGCACAGGATCAACCACTTCTTTTAATACACGAAAGTACTCATTCCCACACCCCCAAAATCAAATACAGAACTTCACTTTACAGCCTAAGCTCTCATTATTTTTTAAATGATTTAGTTATATCTGATTAATTCACTGCCTTACAGCTGCCTTACTCATTTGATAAATTATACATAATAATGTTTTATTTTTAGAATAATATTCAGGCTGAAAATGTATTCTAAAACAATCAGAAAGCTCATGTTACGAATCTAAAATGGAACACAATATTTCCTCCATAACGTGGTCCTTATTTCTAATATTCATATTACTTTCAACTTCTTTACTTAACCCTTAATTTATTCAATAAGATTAATGCGTGTTTATCATTTTATTTAAAAATTTGACTGTAAAGAGGGGAAGAAAAATGAAAAGTATAAAGTCCCCAACTACTACCCTAGCCACCATTCTCACTTCCCAGAGAAGACCCCCATTAACAAATTCATTGTGTATTTTTCCTATATTTCTTTGCATCTTTATTACCTTCCAGGTCATTTATCATTCTCATAACATTCAAGGATCCCAAGTATTGTACTGATTTCCTTTTTTTTCTACTACTCGTTAATGTTTTACATAAACCTTTTACTTATCCTTTACCAATACATTCGGCTGCAAGTAAATCAAAGACTAATAGGAGTTGGTTTTCTCACTTTAGAAGTCTTGGAGCCAGGCCTGGCAGTAATCTGTAAGTCAAGGTTCTGTGCTTTTCCTGGCCTTCTCCAAAGGGTCAAAAAAAAAAAAAAAAAAAAAAGAGGCTGCTGTAACAATAGCGTCAGTTTTAACAATCTAATCAAAGTCCAAATAAAGGGTGGGGAGGATGATACCAGACATGTCTGTTCCTTTTGATCACAAAAGCAAAAATTTCTCAGAATTGTTTAGAAATCTGTCACATGGATCTCTCTAGCTGCAAGGGAGGCTAGGAATGCATGTTTGCCACCCAGGGCTAGTTAATGGACTGCAAACAAAATCAAGGTTCTGTTAACAAGGAACATGGTAGCGCTAAATGTGGGGTACACAGTAGCCCAGTGCCTGAAAACATACCAGTCTTTATGCATTCTTGTTTACGTACCTTTGTCTAACATGGAAGGAGAGATGAAAAGACTAAAACTTGGCTACAAACGCCCTTCCACCATCACCTGTTTCTCCCTGCCATTTCCTCCACTTATAGCACCACTTGTAGTGCCTCCAGTTTGACCAAACTCTTCTTTCTTCCTCCAGCAGTAAGTATGAAAACTGTAGCACCCCGTCTGGTTCAGTAATCTGTTGTTGTATGCTCAGCTTTCAAACCGCCTAACATTTGCTTTACTTACTGCTCACATAACCCCCCTATGTGGATAGCTCACCCTCCAAAATGCTTGGTTTGGCTCTATAAATCTGTTTAATTGATATAAACAGTTAGGAAATGGGAGTCATTTTTCTTTATTGTTAGTCTTTCATTTAGCGCAGTAACTCTTATAGATACCACCTATGTCCAATTCTTTTCTAAACCACTAAACTTGGATTGCTCTTCCTGGTTTGGGATATTAATATAATAGACTACTAGTTTTTATTTTTAAAAAATCTGTACTTACTATAGTTCATAAAAGAACTTTCTATTGTTGTTATAAACCCTTAAAAAACGAACTTTAATAATGGTCATGCCCAGTATATAATTTTTACTTTTGTGAACACTCTCCTTAAAATATCTCTGGACCACCTGTAGTGGCCCAGAGAGAGCAAGTTAGTTAATGGTAAAGCGGAGATACAGAATAAGGTGTTTTTATGCTCAACCTAGTGCTCTTATAATAATAACTTACTAATACTAGTTAAGTTTCGAGAAATTGAAATAATTATATAGAACCAGGTACTAGTTCTATTTTAGTAAACCACTACATTCTTTTGTAAGACATGCAATTTCTTAACGATGTGAATAGCAACTCTCTAACTTTCTGGTTGCCCTATATGCAGTTTTACAAAGTATTACACTACTGAGTAGCTTCAGAATTTCATCCAACTGTCCTTTATTTGAAAAAAAAAAAAATCCCACAATTCTAGAAACTAAAAATAATAGCTTTTCACCTGAGCTCAAAGAGAAATTATCTAAGAATACTAAATCTAAACAATTAGGTGATACAGTTGAATAAAGGTCAAAAGTAAATTAACAGTATTAACTAAAGGTGTATATTGGTTTTGAGCAGGTATGAAATGCAATTCTAAGGAAAAGAATCATTGCCATAAAAGAAACAAATTTTATAGTGTTTTTTAAAAACCAATTCTTATTTTTATATTTCCTTTCCAAAGACAAATAAAAATTAACTACTTATAAAATGATACTTTCTCCTGCCTAATTAATCTGCCTCTCTCTGATACTCCATATACCCTGATAACTTCAAGTCAGGATATTTCATACCATATGCTTGTGGAAAAATCTGGAAGACAACAATGACTGGATTGTGAAATGGCAAATATTAATGAAAACAGGGTATATTAAAAAGCAACAATTTCTTAACTCAAAATGCATGGTTGGGTACCCATTCACTCTGCAATGGAGAAGCCTGTAGCAGGCTAGTGCAACTTGGTTGAGATCGCCTAAGGACTTGTATTAGTTAGCATTCAGGCAATATCTTTTGTACACCACTAAATACTGCATCTGTACATCTCTGGACTGGCCACAATACTTACACATTCAAAGACTACCTCTGCATTACAATTGTATCTGAAATTGCATAACTTTGTCCTACAATAAGTGCATATATTTACTCGGAAAGCATTAGGTGCTATGTTCATTATATTTTAGAGACATTCTTAAAATCTAATAAGGAGGAGAGAATTCCAGATTTGATGTGTCACATTCTGTGGAGATCTGTAAAGAAAGGGGAATGGAAAGAAACAGACAGCTGATCTCTATGAAACATAGAAGGTCTGGAGTCTACAAAAAGATCTCACAGGATCCCCCAGTAATAAGGCATCTCATTGGTCAGCCCTTTTGGAAAACTGCACTTTCACTGTAAAATGACCACGTCAAAATGGAGGAGGGGATGTAATATGAAAATTACCATGAGAGACCCAAAGGCAATTTAAAATTTATTAAAGGGATAAATCACGAGAAAAATATGTCAAAAGCAAAGATGGTCCTATAAAATGCACCATTTTCTCCCTTAAATCATCCATTTCATTTTTCATTTTCCTCATTACATATGCATTATGAATATAACCACCATTACAACTCATGTTTTGATATATAAATACACAAATGTAGAATGTCAATGTGACCCCCCCCAACTGCAATCTAATACATAGAAATCAAAATTAACAAATAAAGATTTACATTATGAATTCTTTACTTTGCAAAATTATCCGATGCATAAAGGTATAAAGGTCTTTTGGGAAAAAAATTATATTTAGCTATACCCTTTAAGGAATTTATTTACTGTATAAGATGACCCTTAGAGATTATCAAGTAGTAGTCCCTTTTATCACGTTTTTTCAAGGACCTTAGATATCTCAATATCTAAGTTTGCAAAATGTATTAGAGCTTCGTTTTCAAAGACTAGCAAAGTAGATTGGCTATGGGCTTAAAAAGGATATTATCTTTAAAGGACCAGGAATAATATGGACAAATAAAATTTACAAATTTATTTTAATAAAGAAATTACTATATTCTATTATGTTTTGGTTTTTTAAATACCTTGAAAGGAGGGACTTTATCTTGAATATATTTTTGGATTTCCAAAGCCCAGAACAGTCCCTGGTGCATAGTAAGAGCTGGCTGTGTGTGTAAAATTGATGAGTCCAGTTTCACTACATTTCTGAACTCTGCCAGGATGTGAGATCATTAGGACATTCTGTGCTATGGATGACAATTGACAGTGACTGAAACAGGCAGCAAGGGAGCAGAGGGAGGCATCAAGCAAGAGGAGAAGCAAAAACGTCCATGGTTGGGAGAGGAAGCGGTAGAGATAATGATTTATAGAGAAAAAAATACACCTTACATTTGTATTTTTATGATTTTCAAAGTAATTTTACAAGATTATTTCTCATTTGCTTCTCACTATTACTCTATGAAGTATGAAATTTAATATATAAACTCCATAATTCAGAAAGAAAAAGAAAATACAACACTTTTATTGTAAAACGTTAGGTGTTGCTTAAAGAGAAAACTCATGAATTTAACTTTTCACAAGTGGAGTGAGGGTTATACTTATTACACAATCAGATAAACCTTCAAGTGAATGAAAAGTCACGAATTGATTACTTTCCAAGAAAAGTTTATGATTTGTGAAATAATATAAGCAATTACCAGGTAATTTTAGATGTAATGAATATGCTATTGCTCCCCTAATTATTTTCTCCTTAAGAGTGGAATTTAAAATGCATAACAATAAAATAAAATAAATAAAATAAAATAAAATGCACGACAGTATATCTAACTACTATATAACCCGCACAGTGAAAATTGCCCCAAATCTGAACAAGAAATGGATTTATTCAGTTGAATTGTTGTTTCACTTAATCTCTGGCAAATAACTTACCTTAAATGTACCCATCACTTCCTTTGATCCTGCTTTTCCGGTACATTCTTCCGCGCATCCATTATTGCAGTCCTTAAAGAAGAATTAAATCCATTAAGTAAAACCAGGTGGGTAATTGGGGCCTGGGGTAATCAACATCACTTACCATTACAACGCGTGCTCTGCTCAGGTACCCCCAAGCAACCAGGAAAAGGAGAATCGAACACCCACACACGGGCCCCAAACGAGAGCGTCCTGTGAGTGCTGCCCTACGCTTCCCACCCTGTCCGAGGTTCGTGGCTGTTTTTGTCCTCCACCGCTAGCTTAGGGCAGACTGCTTAAATTCCAGGTTCGCCCTACAGAGCCACGGTTCACCAGCAAAGAACAAGAAGGTAATTGTCTCCCTTATATCCGAGTAAATAGTCTAGACTAGGGTTTTAAGCCATTTATAGAAAAATCTCCTGGGCGCGCTCAGCCTCGTGGTCTTGTCAATCACTGGCGCACAATAGCAAGCCTGGAAAAGGGATGGGGATGAGAGCAAACCATTTTCTCCACAGGGTCCTCCGATGCAGGCGCACGAACACCAAACCCTACTGGTAAAGGACAAAACATCATGGAATTGGGGGTAATTTATTTAAAAGATACTTAGGGACACAACGGAAGAGGGGTGAATTGAAAAAGGTGCAGACCTGCAGACCTTTAAAAAGAAAAGATTTAAAAAAAAAAAAAACAGCCTAATCTGCTAAGTAACTACGAGAGAGAGGGAAGAAAGGCATCCAAGGGGGCAAAAGGCTGCGGCCAAATATTTTGGGGGGCGAAGGCACGCAGGATGTGACTGTCAGTTCTGGCAGCCCAGAAATCTCGCTCCCGCCTCCTTCCCCAAAGCAGCTTCCATGGCGACCCTCACGTCCCCGGTGGCGGTCCGCGCGGCGCTCGGGGGCGGGCCACCGGTGGGGCTTTCGACCTGTCCCGCGGGGGTCCCTCCCAGGCAGAGTTCACAGGCTGAGACTCTAGGTTTCGGGCAGGGCTGGGGAAAGAGACGCCTCAGTGGGGGCGGGACGGCGGTGCGAGGCAAAGCAGGATGGTGCAGAAAAAAGCACAGAGCGAGGCGCACACAACCACGCAGCCCCTCCAGCATCACTGAAGGAGGAGTCTCCACCCGTCGGGTCCGTGTCCTTACTCAGTTGGAAAAACCGAAGCCCTAGTTCCTGCCACTCAGGCTGGGGAACGCCAGTACGTGCCACCGGAGAGCGCCTTTCCCACTGCAAGCGTTTCCCGAACATCCTTACTTATCAAACAACCCCTGGATGAGCGGCCCGGAAACGCCCCTCTCCTAAGGCGAAGGCAACCTAAGGGAAATAAATATATTCACATTAAGGCAGATTTTTTGGTCCACAAACCGAAAAAGGGCAGTTTCTCCCCCACCCCCTCCACCCCTCGCCCCCAGGGGAGTTCGTAGCCCGGTTTGGGCAGTTGTGCATGGGCTGTTGTCTGCCACCAACCCTCATGTACAAACTGGTGAGATTTGTAACTCGGAGGTGTTGCGGGACTATCAGGCTCACAGTTCCCTAAGAGCTGTTTCTGCTCAAAGACCTCGATGCAACTTTGATTCACCTAGTCATCATTTTCGGGCAAAATAGACTATCAAGAGCTCCCAATGAAACTGTTTTGACAGTTTTCTGATGTAGGCCTGTGTTAGCAGTGTTTAGAAAGAGGACTGGAAAATTGATGTTTGAAACACAGCTCGGGTTAAAAAGACAAAAGGAAGATGTAATAGCTATTGTCTCCTCTGATGTATTTTCTTGAGGCAAAGTCTAAATTATGACTCAGTGGCTTTTAAATTAGTAGGAAGTAGTGACCTGGGCTGACTTGCTGTTGAAAAGAGGACAGTTTATTCTGGATAAGAGCAGTTAAATCCATCTGGCTTTAGAATTGATTTCATACAGTCCTAAAGACAATATAGCTGTAATCTTATCGGAGAACAACATTCAGTTCTTCCTCCCTACCTCCCTCCCCTTCAAGCTGCAGAAAAGTCTCTTCTATTGGGGTGGAGGCCTGAGCTCCAAAGAACATACAGCTCAGGCAGATCATGTACATCAAAAAGTGGCAACTGTCACTGGACACATGGAGTCTCCTTTTAAAAGATATTTAAAACCAAATTTTAAAATTAAAAAATAAAGTACAGATTAAGTAAGTAAACTGTAGGGCCACCAGTTTGGGACCCCAGCCCAAAGCTTAAGAATAAAAATCCCTTAGTTGAAGAATTATAAACACCTTATTTACATTCAAGTTTGATTTAAACTGTGAGTACACCAGACATTCATTGAGCCTGTTACTATTTTAAAGGTAGTCACTACACAACTTCAATTTTCTTGCTACGTTAAAGGTTACCTGTAAATCAAGAAAGCATATATATTACAAGAATAGTATTATTAAAGAATGACCAGTGCCACTTCTACCTTTCCTCCCTTTCAGAGCCAAACTGTGAAACTGCCATCTGTATTAACTGATCCCTATTTCCTCCCGCTTCAAGTTTGACTTCTATCCAATATCTCAACTAAACAAAGTTCCTAGTGGCCTTCATTTTGTTCCACTCGATGGTTTTGCTTCCTGTGCATCTTTATGGCTGCACCTATATGCTGATGATTCCCAAATATATATATTTTCATTCCACCTCTTTCCTGAGCAGTAAGTACTTACAATGAAAAATCTAAAGTATTTGTGATGTATGTTACATTTGTGAAAGCACTGGGCTGGGTGCTGGGGATGCAGTATGAGCATACCTCCATCCCATTATCATGAATTGCCTCCAGCCAGGTAGAAAACATGTTACTTGTGTTAAAAAGTATTAAATAATCTCACAAATGTAAAATTGCAAATTTTACAAGTGCTACGTATGCTTTGAGAGCCTCTAATAATGGAATGTAACAGACTCAGAACTGGAAAAGCTTTCCAGCAAGGGATCCTTAAGCAAGGATCTAGAGGATAAGAAAATGTATTATAGGAAGGGGTGAAGAATGTCCAGGATGAAAGTGAGTTTCAAGCGGAAAGGACATCTCTGAGAAGAGAAGGAACATAGTGCTTGCAAGGGTGTAAGAGACCCAGGGCTGGGTAGAGGTAAACAGAGGGTGCTAAGTCCAAGGTGAGAGTGCAGAGGTAGGCAAAGGGCTAATAGTGCCTTAGAGAGTGAGTTAAAGGTTAAGTTTCCCCCAAAAAGGTAAAGACGTGACTGTCATGTAGATATAAAATAACTTGTATTATAGTTTTTTAAAACTCATTTAATGAAATTATTACCAGGGAGATGTTAAAACTGACTCAAAAAATAGACACGTTTCTAGGTCAGGAATAGTGAAATGAGTTTGCTAATGGACATAAAACTGCCTTCTTTCACAGCAAGGGAGAGGAGTTAATCGAACTTCGTAATTTATTTGCGTGTCTGCGATAAGATTTTGCAGAAACAATGAAACAATGTAAAAACACAATGAAGGGGCCCATTGAATCTTAAAAACAAGAAAAACCACTGAGAAACAAACTGATAGATACACAGAACAAATTCATGGTTGCCAGATGAGGGGGATGGGTAAAAAAAGGTGAAAGGGATTAGAAGAACAAATTGTCAGTTATAAAAATAGGGAGATGTAAAATACAACGTAAGGAATATAGTTAATAATATTGTAATAATTATATATGGTGTCAGGTGGGTACAAGAATTATTGGGTGATTACTTCATAAGTTATATAAACATCTAGTCGCTATTCTGTACACCTGAAACTAATATAATATTATATGTTAATTATGATTGAAAAATAACTTTTTAAAAAAGAAAAACCACCGAAAGGTTAGGATTAGGTATAGAATGGAGGGGGCGAATTGACAGGATTGAAGTGCACTCTGGTTGTGGTTTGGAGGTTGGAGGGGAAGCCTGGGTGGAGAGGAATGGGTTTATGAGGAAGCTATAACAGAACCCACCTATGAGACGATCCTATTAATAAATTAGACTTGGCAGGTGATAGGTGATATAGATGGAGACAAGCAGTCAGATTTCAGCAATCTTTAGACAGAATGGATACAAGAAGAAATATGAGAGAGATGCCAAGGACAGCTCCTTAAATTTTGGCTTGCTCTACTGGTTGGCTTTATTCGCTAAGAAAAATGAAACACAGAAATATAATGTCGTTTGAGGGGATGAGCAAGGATCTAATTAGGGGCATACTGAGTTTTGAGGTGCCTCTGAGACTGGCTGAGATATGCCTATCTGAAGCTCCAATGAGAAGTCTGGATTAGAGGTACGCATTTGATGAGTCATTAGCACGTGGGTGGTAGCTGAAGCTATGGATGTGAATGAAAATGTCTGCCTCGATTTTCTCACCTGTAAATTGGGACAATAACAACACTTATGTTTGCCAGTTGGGATAGATGATCATAACATATATAACATATAAATTACTTAGCACCTTGCCTGGTGAGTCTTACTCCCTAATAAATGTAGGTAATGACTATCTACCCCAGTTGGCAAACATTTTCTTAAAGAACCAGATAGTAAATATTTTAAGCTTTGAGGGCCGTGTGGTCTTTGCTGCAACTATTCAGATCTGTCACTGTATAACAAAAGCAGTCATGACGGTATGTAAAAGTATGGGCATGGCTGTGTTTCCATAAAACTGTGTTTACAAAAACAGAACAGTGGATTTATCCTGTGATCTATAGGCTACTGACCCCTACTGCATGCAGTTGCCCTAGCTAGACACATACGGGTCATCCTTCAAACACAACCAAGTGATCGGTAAGGTCTATATATTCTAAGTCTAAATATCCTGACAGTTGTTTCTCCAGCCAGATTACCACCATCTAGCACCAAATAGCTTCTGAGTAGCCACTCTGCTTCCAGCCTTGCTTCTCTTTAAGCTATTGTTAGCATGGCAACCAGTAAAATCCTTTCAAAACGAAAATCTGAACATCTCTTTTCTTGGCTGAAAAATTTTCAGGGCTTTACATCATCCTTATGACAAAATATTTTCGCAAGCTCCTGTTTCTGACTCTCTGGCTCACCTTTTGCTACTGTCCTTCTCTTCAGCCACACATATGACTTATTTCAGTCCTTCTTTTTGATATCAGGCCTCCTCGCAGCTGGCCATCTGCCTGACACGCTCCCCTAGTATATCCTGGCTGTCTTGCCTTCCTTTCTCAGCTTAAAGTGGCACTTCCTTGGGAAGACATCCCCAAACCCTATCTAGTCCATAGTGGGTCCTTCTATTATTTATTGCCATAGAATTCTTTCCACTTCAAAATAATTGCCATACTTTATTCTAATTATTTCATTAATGCTTCTGTCATTTTTGTGATGGGTGGGAAATTGTGTCTATTTTGTTCACTTAGCAATCCCCGCTCATCCATGCGAGTCACACAGTTAAGACTTAACAAGTATCTGTTGAATTGCAGCTCCCTAATTTTTTTAAAAATATACATTTAGCAGACCAAAAAAAAGAAAAAAAAAACTATACATTTAATATACTTTGGAATCTTATCTGCCACAGTCTACAATATAACAGACTAAAAATGTCCTCAGATCCTACTCTACCCCTTGATATAGGTAGGCTTCTTTTTCTACAGAACTACTCTCTCTCACTCTAAATCTTTTCCTTCCTTTTCCTCTATTCTATTCCTTCCACTATTCCTTCTCTTCCCATCACCAGCCATAATATGGGCTTTTAATATATTATGACTGTGAAAGGATTGGACCAATGCTTTCCAATAGAACCTTCTGCCACGATGGAAATGTTCTACATCTGCTTTAGTAGCCACAAAGCCAAATGGAACACTTGAAATGTGACTTAAGATATGAATTTTCACTTTTGCTTAATTTTAATGAATTTGCTCTTAAATCTAAATAGCCAAATGTAGCTATGGTCTAAGTGCAGGTTTGGGCATTGTCATGTTTGTCATAGTTAAGGGTTGGTATTCTCTCTCTATCACTTATCAGCTCTATGACTTTGGGCAGATTGCTAATGTCTTTTGATTGTCAAATTTAAAATTAGAGTAAGTAATAAGAAAGTGATGAAATTCAACATAAAGATTAGGTACGAAGGATTCGGCAGTACTTAGCATCTTATTATTGTTCCATAAATATTAACTATTATTCTATTTCTATTTTTATTTTTTAAATCACAATTGTTTTTCACTTATATGTAGCCTTTGGATTAGGGTATATTAATGATCAGAACAATATTATATGAGGAGAAATATTAAAAATATACATCTAGCATTTCAATCAAGGGTTTCTTTT